AATCAAGCTCACCATGTCGGGTGGGTCCTAGCCTTTGACTCAAGATAATGTGCTTCAGCCTTCGACGGCATTGGTTAGAGGAAAATAAATCCTCTTGCCCCTTTCTAGACGTCGGGTTCATCATACTTTGATGGCATTTGGTTAGAGGAAAATAAATCCTCTCGCCCCTTGCTAGACATATGATTCATGATAACCTACATCACAGGTCGTCGAGACCCTTGAAATGGTTAGTGAAAAATGATATGGAATAATGTCATGATGTTATGATGTCATGTTCGAATAGATAATCAAACACAAGAAAAGCATATAAGGCCTTAGGTTTAAGGCTTGCATGGGGTTTGTAGGTAACTACCTTCTTGAAGTTTAGTTGGCCCAACCTGTCCTAAAGAAGTAACCGGGTTCTAGGGATCTCAGTATCATTAATTTTTCCCATAAATTTTGTCTAGCGCATCAACTAACTTGCCACCAAACAAAACTCGAGAGATGAATCTCAATGAGTGTAGTGTCGAGTATCAACCAACTTCGGACTGCACCAAAGCCGTCTATCTCACTACCTTCTAATGGCTAAGTTGGTTCAATTAAGGTTCTAAGGTTAGTTAGTGCTAATGACACCACGCGGCAGCTTAGTATTCTCCCCGACTGACTCTAGGCACAACAGAACAAACCAATGTGTCGCACTAACATAGCCATTACTTCAACCATATCAGTATACGCCGTATAGTTTCCATGATCTATTGCTACTTATCTAAAATTCCCTTCAGATCTGGGTATATGATATTTTCAATAAAATAAACTCGAGCAAACCCTGAAATATAAATCAATCAAAGCAAACAAGTAAAGCATTAAAAGTGATCTAACTCTAAAGGTAACCCCACTTTTAGTTGTCCCCAGTAGAGTCTCCAGTTCTTTAATACGGTGGGAGAACTGACTTGTTTTGCATTTTATTACAAATGTTACGGATAGTAAGATTTGCCACCGACTTTTCTTTTATCTAATATTTAGGAAAGGGTAAAAGAACAGGAAATACCTTTGAGAAATTTTTGAGTTCGGGGGGTAGGTTATGAATAGGGAAGGTGTTAGTAACCTTTTCATCTGTAGTTATCTACAGGCTCTTAAAGGCTAGCTCACTTTGTTTTGAAAATGCTTTTATGTATGTATTTGAAAATATTTTGAAAATTCCTAAGTACGGCAACTTTGTAATGATTCTTGTATCAGTTAAGAATGCGTATAAATTGTTTATTTTTGAAAATATTCTAGAGAAAGTGTTTTTGAAAATGTTTTGAAATTTTTTGTGTGAGCAAGCGATTACGAGTGATCTACCTACTCAAAAGTATTTCGTGTCATTTTCCTCCTCCTTTAGATAGTGATATCCTACGATTAGTTAGTAGGAAGCCCTATCATTGGATGTGAAGAGACTGGCGTAGGGTCGTCATTATGATTATAGAAGGCAACATATAGGGATACCTTAGCAATTCGAAGGGACTGTCATCATATATTCGTAGGCAACATCGAGGGACAAGATCATTTCTCGTAGGCAACTCAGGGGACATCGCTGGACTATGATATTTATGATGATTTTAACTGAGGGTCCTTACTAAGGGTATCCCTACGTTCGAGGGACATGACCATTTTTATCCGAAGGTAACAAGTGGGGTTACCGTAGAGGTGAGTGTGTGAAGATTTATTCAATTCAGTTATTTTAACTTCATTAGGGTTATCTAGCGTTTCATTTTAGATCTTACCATACACACCCTATTAAACTAAACAGTATGAGTAATAATAAAGCAATAAAGTGAGGGAAATAGAAATCTACGATATTACAAGGCTTCAGGAGTAGGGGTACAAACCATAAAATCAAGGGAAAAAGTAAACCCTAATTAAGCTATTACATACTGTAGCAGATACATAGTTGGGAAAAAACTAATGTGAAAGTAACAAAGCACGCGAAGCGGTAAAAAGAGAAAATGGAAAAATCATTTTGTGATTGTATGATGAAAAGTGTTGATAATCAACCTAAAGTCTAATTGATTTTAATTTTAAAAAAAGTATTGATTAATTTAAACAAACCCTAATTTGACTAATTAAACGAGAAAAAAAAGGTTAAATTATTTTAATGAAAAAATGATTAATTAAGTTAATAAAAAACCTAAATTGATTGATTAAATAAAAAAAACCTAAAAACCATTTTATTTGGGTTTGCTAAAAATGTTTTTTTTTTTAAAAGGTTTTAAAGAAAAAAGGTGAAAAAGAGTGATAAACATAGAAAATAACCAAAAGAGTAGAGGTGGGTGTTGAACTCACGCCCTCAGCAGTTTCATGCAGCAAGCTTACCATCAGGCCAGGCGCGCCTTAGTGTTAGGATGCGCATCCAGCGCGTTTTGTATTCTATCCTGCAAAATATGAAAAAATATGAGAATTTTGGCAAAATCGAGGATCGAACATGTGACCTGGGATACCAATGCCTTGGCGCGCACGTTTCTGCCACTGGGTGGATATACATCCGTTTATATAATTGAATCAATAAATATATATTATACGCCTGATTGTATTAACCAGAGCCCTAGCTCTGGTCGTCTTCTCTGATAGCTTTCATCATTCAACCTGCAAAATACAAAGTCTTAATGATCCAAGCACATCCTACCCCCCTAAATCAAGGGTTACAAATCCAATAGGATAATTATTTTGGGATAAAACTCAATGGTTTGGCTGCTATTATGCAAATGGTGCAAATCAGAGAAAACATGGTATCCTATGATTCTGACTTCATGGGATCATGATGATGATCCAAACTTGTACTAGTGAAACTCAGGAATACATTAGTAGTGTTAATACATGTTAAAGCAAACAGAAAATCAAGATATGAATATTATTCATATTATGAAATTGGTGATGCCATGTAATGTGATTTCACGCGTTTTGGATCATCCAATTTGGTCCAAACTTACTCTATAGGCTTGTTGGAAGAGAATGAATTTGAGGTTTTATAGTGAAAGGGCTTGTAAGTGGGGTTTTGAAATTCTAGGGTTCTTGAAAAAAAAGTTGATATTTTGACAAGTTTGGGAGACAAGGTTTTTTTCATGTCTTGTATGAGAATGAATGGGGGAATATATATAGTGGAAATTAGGGCAAAAGGAATGGGCTTGGTCTTTGTAATAAAGGCTTATGTATTTATTTTATTTATTTTGCATTATTAATGAACAAATAAAAAATAATTTAAAATAATTAAAATAAAAAAGGTCAAGAGGTGTAAGAACATGATTTGAGGTGTATGAGGGGTATAGAGCACGTTTGGACTCTTAAACAATGGCCCAATAGCCCAAAATATCAAGCTTCCTCACTTTGAACTTCAAGCATTTGTTCAAAATTTCCCAACTTGTAATGGTCATAACTCTCTCAATTTTCATCTTTTGAGGGTGATCTGGGACTTTTTGGAAAGTTCAAGATGTCCTATACAACCTCTATGTTGATCATTTTCTCTTTTGAAGAATTTATCTTGATGTAAGTTTCCTTGACAAAAAGTGTTTTTTTTGTTGACTTTTGAAATGACCTATAATGTATTGGCTCATATCTCTCAAATTAAGCATTTTTTGGACTTGATCTTAGAGATTCAGAGTTGCAGATAATTGAACTCCCTTTAAAATGATCTTTGGTTGGTAAAAATATGATGAAGCATGTGAAAGTTATGCTTGGTCAAAGTTCAGTTGACTTCTCCTAAGGAAACCTTAATTTGGCAACTTTTGATTTTGGATGATTTGAGGGCTTTTCTTGAGGAATCATGATGAACCCTTGATCAAATGATGAATATGACCTCAAAATGTTGATGTTTACCAAAAATATTTAATTTTGACTTTATGTTGACCATAATTGACTTTTTACCCAATACAGTTAATTTTCAGTCATCTGAACCATTGACTGAGCAAACTTGTGATGCAAGGCTTGAAACTTGACCTGAGCATTCTAAGGGGCATATGAAGAACCATGAATACCACTTGAGACCTTGGAAACCCAATATTCCTTGAGAAATACAAAACCCTAGTTGTGAGTCCAATGAGCATTTGAGAATCCTAGGAGAATCTCTTGATGAAAAATGGGAAGGCAAATTTTGGGGTACAACATATACCAACAAGATGCATCCTTTTTTTGGTAGACTAAAAAATAAGATCTCAATAGTTAAGGAGGGTTGACTAGGAGTAGTATTTTGGTTGGTGACCTTCTAGGAAGTTTCTCTGAAAGCGTGTGAGTGAGGACAAAGCATGTTGAAAAGATTCGTGTTGGTTTGTAGGATTACTCGATAATCCTGAAAGCAGTTTAGGGCATTAAAAATGGTATTAGAGCCATACCTCTCTCAGTACGACGTGTTTTGGGGACAAACCAAGTGGAAGCTGGTGGACATGTAACTCCCAAATCCGAAAAGGGCGAGGAGTGGTTGTCGAATTCACATTGAAATGAGAGGGATCATGAGGTTGTGTAAGGATGGGACTACATGGTTGAAGGAAGGCTTATAAGGATTAATTTGTACTACCTATACCAAGAATATGCATGTCATACAACAACAAATTATTCCTCAAGACCTTTAAAAGCATTGATATGCTCATCCTTCTTCTACTAAATAATAATCGGATCCACTTCAAATGCATAACATGTTTCTATAACATATTTAGAAGCCTTCTTCCAACATTTCTCTCCTTTAACAAGAGAAGCCTCCAGTCTCATTATCTGAGCCGCCAAATATGATAGAGAACCAAACCAATCTACTTAATATTGCAAAGAATCAACAAACTTGATCTTTGTCCACAACTCGACTAACTCTTTCTCAGTCTTGGAATTTTCCCGCTCAAGGGCCTCAAATTTATCCTTCAGCTCATCTCGCTCCCTTAAAAGGTCATTATATCCTAGTATATTATCCTGTCCAATAACTACAATCAAAATAGGGACCCAACCCTAAATAAGGTATGAGACACATTTGTGAAAAGACCCTACTTGTCAACTAAAAATAATTTCTAGACGAAGGCTAGGTCTTCACTGGACACGGTAGAAGAAAATTCCTCTAGGGTGCTTGGTATCCCAGAGAGAAGGATGGATATAAGCCAGAAAAAATGAGTAAGAGCCTCAAACTCTACACCTTCCGATAGGCAAGTCCGTTTAGGAGAACCTCCTTCAACAAGAGTGGACGGACTATCACCCTGACTCCTCTTGATAAGAGAATGAGATGGTGAAGGCTCGCATATAGAGAAGTTGACCGCCACAGTAGTTAATTGTTCCACCTCAAGAGTTATACTTGGGGTAGTAGTCATAACTACCGTCGAGGTAGCAAATGTAGTTGGTGCTCAGACTTTCGGAGTAGAAATAACAGCAAAAATAGGAATCACCAACACTTGGCCAGATAAACGGGTTACAAGACCCTGATCCTTGGCGGATGTTAGAGTCTTCTGCAGTTTATCCATGTTATCTTCAAGGCAAAAGTTACACTTGTTAAAAAAAACCAACCTCACAAAAGATATTTTTCTTCTGAACATGATTGAGCGTAGGGACAATCTTGTAAGTGTCAATTCGTTTTTTCTTTCACTGAGTAGAGGGAACCTCATTATGACAAAATCCATCTTTATAGCCAAGCCATTGATACCAAGCGCACATATCCTTTTTCATTTTCACCTCCTCATAGGATAAAGGACTTAGCTTGGAATGGTAATAAAAAAGAGGTCGGCAGAAATGGGCTCTAAATCAGTACTTCAGGAAACATCTTTTATAAGAATGGGCACATCCCACTGGGTCCAAAGACGGACAAAAAGAATAATGATCCTTAGAAGTGACAAGTTTCACTGGCATGAAACGTTCAAGGAAAGTTCCCCGGTCAGTAGTGAAAGGGCTAAACCAAGGCACCTGAGGACATCTCTTTATTATTCGGACAGACCATAAAAGCATTAAGGAGTAATATAACAGGTTATTCAAACACCGTATTTGTAGGCTTGTGTGCACAAATTATTGGGTTTTCAATTTTGCATTGAGTACAGACTAGAAGGTTCCACCAAAATTGTTAAGACTTTATCATGCGTACTTGTATAGTGGCTTATTGAAGAACTGAAGATCATATTGCGCAATAATATGCTTTTTGGACCTTGGCATCTTCCCCTACTTTAGGAATTGTGTCTCAATTAAAAAGGGGAAATTCGTCTGATGCTTTTCTATTTTAGTTTCACAATCAAAACTTACAAGGTACTTTGGTAGCTCCTTATACTATTGTTAATGGATTACTTCTCAATGTTGGTCGTTATGTTTTAAATTCGCAATGTACTTTATGTAACTTGGTTATCAATGAATTTCATGATACACCAAGTGGTGGTCATGCTGGGGTAAAGCAAACATTTGCTATAAAATATTTATGGACAGGTATGTGCGAGGCAGTGGAAAATTTTGTGGTTTCTTGTCTAATTTGTAAAAAAATAAAACTCCACTCAAGTTCCAGCCGAATTACTCCAACCTCTTATGATTCCAACATAAGTTTTGGAGGAGCTTTCCATTGATTTTATTATGGGTCTTCCTCCAGCTAATGGATCCAATATCATCTTAGTTGTTATGGATCGTCTGTCAAAATCAGCTCATTTTGGTGCTCTTCCTGGGTCCTTTATAACTTCTAAGGTAGCTCAATTGTTTATCTCATTAGTTGTATATCATTATGGATTTCCTTGTTCTATTTTGTTAGATTATGCATGGGTGTTGTTTAGTAATTTTTGGCATAATTTAATAGAATTGAGTGAAACTAAATTGGCTATGAGTTACGCGTACCATCCTCAAATGAACGAACAATCAGAGGTGGTTAATCGAGAGATGGAGCAGTACCTTCATGCTTTTACTAAATAAAAATCTTCTTCTTGTGTTTTGTTTCTTCCCTAGGAATAATTTCACTACAACACTAGCTTTCACAGTGTCTTGCAAATGTCTTTGTTTGAAACTCTTTATTGTCGCAAGCCTCCCACCATTTCGGCTTACTCATGTGGATCCACATTTATTTTAGTCTTGGATGAGACTTTGAATACACTTGATGAACTATTGTGTAATCTCAAGGCTAACCTGTTGCAAGCTCAAAATCACATGACTCAAAAGGCCAATTCACTCTGTCGAGATTTCTTAATCGTTGTGGGTGATAAGGTGCTAGTTTGCCTTCAAACTTACGGTGGAAGAACTGACTTGGTTGTTTACGTTTGATCGCAATTGTTGCAGATAGAAAGAGACTCCACCGACTTTTCTTTTATCCAATAAGGAAAGGTTGAAAAGGACAAGTGTGATATGGTGGGAGAACTGACTTGGTTGTTTTTGCGTTTATTCGCAAATGTTGCGGTTAGCAAGATTCGCCAACGACTTTTCTTTTATCCAAAAGGAAAGGTGAAAAAGCACAGGAAAGACCTTTGAGATTGTTTCTTGAGTTCGGAGGGTAGATTATGAAAAGGGAAGTTATTAGCATCCTTTTCATCCATGGTTTTCCATGGGCTCTTAGTTACTTTCTAGATCACTTGCTTTTGTTTGAAAATGTGTTTTGTGTAGTTTTTGAAATTATTTTAAAAAAGGCGCCACCGTTTAGGTGAACTTTGTAATGATTCTCGTTCGTAAGAATGTATACAAAATGTTTGATTTTTTGAAAATGTTTTCAAGTTTGAAAGATGTTTTGAAAGTGTTGGTGTTTGTTTTGAAAATAGAAAGGATGTTTTTGGTTTTGAATTTGAGCAAGTAACTAGGAACATTCTATCTACTCAAATGTCTTTCATGTTCATTTCCTATTTCCTTTGACATGGTTATCTTACCATTGATTTGGTAAGTAACCCTATCTTTGGATGTAAAATGGACGGGCGTGGGTCATCGTATAGCCATGATTAGAAATGTTGTAAGATATCTTAGCATTTTCTTTAGGGACTAAGATCATTTTGAAAGGCAACATGGATAGCATCATCGAGGGACTATGATCTTGTATTTTGTTTGTTTTTTCTAAGATGCCTAACATGAATAATATGGCCATTTTATAAGGCAACAAAGTGGGTTTACCCTAAGGGTTCAAGTGTGCAAATGTATTGGTTTACATGTTTGATTTGTCTTTATTAGGATTTGATATTTTTTGGTTTTAATCTTTCCATACAAACCCTAATTACTACCAATTGGTATATAAAGCATTAAATTGTGGAAACTAAAATACTAAGCTATTACAAAGCTTTAGGGGATGGGGGTACAAATTTATAAATGGGGATTGCAAAAAATTAAAGTCCTAATTATCTATTACAACCATATTGAAATAATATACAAGAAATGTAAAATGGACTTGTTTTGTTTTTGTTAAGAAATTAATTTACTTAAGAAAATATTTTGATCTTTTTGTTCTAAAAGAAAAGAAATAAAACATGTGAATATGAATTTTTTTGGTGTTTTTGGTTATTAAAAGCAAAAATAAGATAAATAAGAAAATGGAGTCAGAATCAGCACATTGCTGAAACGAGGAGGAACAGAAGTTCTGACTCTGATACTATGCAAGAGAGAAAATGTTAGTAGGAAAGCAGAAGGTCATAAGTTTTGGGCCTGGGTACACCAAGTTCTGAGGTTGCTGGGAACAGAGGAAAACCTAAAAGCTATGATTGTTGAGGGGGTTCAGAAGCTGTAGTGTAGCTGGAAACCTAGAAGTTCATGTATCACTGGCAAGTCAGATGTTCTGGCTATTTGAGAGAGTGAGGTGATAATGATGTTGGATAAGTTTTTTTAGAAGTTATGATCTAGGATTATCGTCTGACAGATAAATGGGTGAAAATGTCAATAAATAAACCTTAAAAAAAAGCTTTTGGTGTTAGAACCCAGGACCCTTAGCACTAATGTCTTATGCTCAAGCTTTCTACCACTGGGGTGGCTGTACATCTGGTATTAGAAACAAAAGCATAAACATATAACATAAAGTAAATTCTGATGATGTGCTTCATCTCTTTATCCACACCAATCAGAGCATCTGCAGCTTAGTCATTTCTCAACAAAACAAAAATGCACACATAACAGTTCTGGCAAGTTTCATTATGGTTTCAGAAACATAAAAAATGTCAAAATTGTAAATCAGAAACAAACATGTATCTGCTAAACCTAGTTTCCTTAAGAAGTTCTTATCTGATGTTCTCTCTACTTAGGCAGACAAACACATGAAACTTAAAAATATATACAGCAACAGGATCAGGATGTCTACATTGTATTTTGAACATGCAAATCTAACAATGCCTAAGTAATATGATGAGAGTCAGCAGAACCTTACCTTGCAACTGGAAAATGTTCTATGAGCTGGAGTTTGGTTCTGACTGCTTGTAATGTTCTGATCAGCTTCCTCACGTATTCAACAGACTGGAACAAACTTTAGCTTGGGTTATGAAAGGTGAATGGATGACTTGGTCAAGAAACTCTTGAGGGAAATTGAAGTTTGAATGCAAGAATCAAAAACTAGCAGGTTTTGTATTTGTGTTTGTAGTTTCGGATTTCTGGATATTTTAGCAAGATTTTAAAGCTTTTGCTTTTCAGTTTTTTCGACCCCTTTACAATTGCCAAAGAAGTTTAATTTATAGGCAAGAACTTTGTAGCTTGGAGAAGTAAAAAGTACCAACATCATGCTAGCGTGTTGGCTTGTTCTTGAAGCAAAATAAACAAGTATGATGGTTAACAGCTTTTAGTCGTTCCTAAGCTAGATTTGTAACCATGAATTAAAGGAAAGTTCCCTCAGAGGAAAAAGCAAAGCATGGGCTCAGCATAAACTTGTACAAAAGTTTTCTTTTCAAGGACAGCAATGGTACTTCTTTCTCACATGTGGGGAAACCCTTTGGATAAAAACTCAAAAGTGGTTGTATGCATTAAATGATGATGAGATTTATCAAACCATAAATCCTGCGCCATGAGATTGTGCATCATAGCCTAAGTCTTGGTCAGAAGTTCAGCATCAGCGTAACTTAGAATAAACATCCAACTTCTGATCTTGGAATCTCTCTGCTCCAGCATGTTCTGAAGGAGTTCTCAGACTTTTCTGAAAGCTTGTAACATGCTTTGTAGGCTTTCTTTGAATTACTTTTTCAAAATCTGGCTGAACCTTCGTGAAAACTGGCCCAGAAGTTCTAACCAAACTCTGTCTTGAAAATCTCCAGAATTTGCTGAGTGCTTCAGTTTCATGGATGTGTCTTTGAAAATTTATAACTTGAAATTCCAGCATTTCTAGGAGAAGTTCTGTTCCGCAATATTTTAGGTCTTATTGAGATCTAAAACTCTTGTGTTAGAAGTTCTTCCAGAATCATCT